TGTCTGTCCTCGCACTGATCATCTAGTTAGATGACTTAGGACAGAAGTGCATCACAGGTACCTCCTCAGTATGGAAATCTCAATCCAAAAGCCTAATACAATGTTGAAACAGTACTAAAATGGGCTGTATAGGACTAGAGGTCCTATTGCCTGATACTCTGTATATGACTCAGAGAGAACAAAATTCCTCCCTCAAGGAAATTAATTCTACAAACATTGAGCTTTTTCATATAAATGTCAATAAAAACATATTCTTCTTTTCATGAGAATCTGATAGTTTGAGGCCCAGTTGAAATACACTTTTCTTGTGTGCCTGATATGCTCAGGAGCCTGGGAGTCTGTTCTCAGTTTAGTTACCTCTAGGTCTCTTGCTTCACTTAGCAGATTTTTGGTGCTGGCTTCTGGAGCTCTGTACAGAGATTTAATTTGTGGCTCATTTCCCTAATCTTGTTGTGATTGACCTAGTGCTTATGGCAGAAATCTCAAGATTAGCAGATTTGCAAGATGACCCTCATAATCAGAGTCATCAAATTTCAAAAAAATCAGTGGTTACAGAACTCTTAGCAGTGATTTCTGGATAATTCCAGGAAATATGCAGTCATCACAATTAAAACTTCTGTAGTGATTTGAAAATAGTGAGAGAGGTTAGAAACATCTCTGTATTCTCAACTGCAGCTGCCCCTGGAACTAAAGTTCATGAGTTTACATCTTGCAGATGGAGGAGAGCTCTGAACAGAAAAACATGAATGTGTTTGAACTGTTTGATGTGCTTGATCTGTTAGACTATGCCTGTGATCTCTTCTGAATCTTTAAATATGCACAGTTACGTAGACTTGTATCATAGAATCATATAACCCAGAATAAACATGGATTTCTGTAATTGTCATGTAAGCTAGACTTAAATGATTTGGGGATGTCCCATGAGTTTTGTTGCATCTGGCAAAGTCTAAAATGCCAACATATTGAAATCTTTGGATAATATGCAGTGCCCAAAATAGCAAGGAGGGTGTTTTACTAAATTACCATCGCTGAAAAACACATTTGTGGGCTATGTGCCATATGCTTTGAGTACAGAGGTATGATATCTAGCTTTCATGCAGAGATACTAAGCAATCTCAGAATTAGGATTTTATTTTTAATTAAAATACACCACATCATTTTTTAAAATCTATCTAAAGTCGTTATTTTTTCTAATTATATGTATCTCCTGATTCTTTCGGATCTGTTTGTATTGCTTTATAGCCATTTCTCTGTAGAAAAAAAATGTAAATAATCCTTAATACTCAGACCACCAGTAAGTAAATCCATTTTTTAAAATTTATTTTATTAGCTCTTTCTGAATTATTCCCCCAGGACAGTTATCTGACTATATGAAATAGCTTTCTTGAGGTGCAACAGAGAACAGATCATTCATGTGGAGAAATAGCTCTGCTTTAGTTCATCTTTTCTGGACATGTTTAGATACTCACTCCAAGGTACTTTTCCAATATCTACATGGAGGAAACTCGTAGTAATTTCTGAAGTTACCCAGACTTTTCAAAACCATGTTAGCCCAGATGTGTTGAGTGAGAAACCATAACCTTTAATGTGCTGCAAGTTTGGGTTTTTCAAAATAAATGGCTACTACACAGAGTGAGGTGAAGTATCAAAAGTGATTGATTGCTATGCTGGTCACACAATCACACTCAGTTACTGTCCTTGCTTCCTCAGTGTCAAGCAGTAATGAGCCAGGATTTGGAGATTTTTCTGTCCTTAAAGGGGCAGTTTCAGTTCACACTGCTTGTTTCATGAGGGTACAAGCCATTCAGTTTGGGAATCAGTGTAACTGTAGGAAAACTTAGTGCTTATGCAGTCTAGAGATGTCTTGGTTCCTTCCGTGTTAACAAAAGCTTTGTCTTGCTTTTCTAAACTAATATACAGGAATTTGAATTGAATACTAAGATTGTTTTTAGAAATTCTGGATTCCATATACTCCTGTAGGATAAGCCTGAAAGTCTAGCTTTATTATATATAACACTGAGACATAATGCATACATTTGGGAGAGGAACAGAGGATAGGGACAGGTATGTGTATTAAAGAAGTTACCTTTGTATTTGAGTATTTGTATTGCTGTCCCATATTGAATCTTATTCTGTTAATGTTACCAGTTTACCAGGGTGGACTGTCTTCTCTATAAAATTGTGGACTGAATTAATTCCTCAATTAGCCTGTTGACGTTGTTTGTAGCTTCCCAAAAAATTTGGTTCCGAAATCAGTAACTGGTAACAACAGTCATTCTAGACACTGAGATCTTGTCATTATCTACCATCATTGTTGAATTAGAATTTCAAAGAGGGTATAAGGTGAACCATTTTAATTCTCTTTGTTTAAGACTTTTCCCCCAGGAAAAAGGGATAATTTGTGCATTTTTTTTACTCTGAAATTGCATTTCTGTATACATAGATAGCTCAAAACTGACGTCATATTCTTTAATTTTAAATATCCAAATAGAAAGAAGAGTTTTTCCTTATTTCAGTATTAGTATTTATTGTACAAGATGGATAATGGCACTGGAAACTTAATTTCTCTAAAGCCCAAACCTGCCATTACACTTGTGTGACTGTAAATGTCTTAACAGTAAAGAAGCTATAGTGCATAGAAAGACCAAAACTCACTTAATATTTTTTTAATTTTTGTTGCTAAAGGCCCCTTGTACTTTTTCTAAAAGATTGAAGTGCTGGTTTTCAAAATGGCTTAATCAAATATTGGACTGATAACAGAAGGTGTCTGCAAAAGATGGGACTACAAGGAATAAGGTGAATGTTGCATTGTATCTCTCCTGTACATGAGAAGGACAAGCATCATAAAAATGCTTAAAGAAAAATGGGTGGAAGAAATCATATGGTGAATGTAGCCTAGGAGTCCTTTGGTCCAGTAAACCACAGGCTTAATCACTTCTGTGATACAGATAAGAACAACTGTAACAAGATGTTTGAGTCTGTTGAGTGATGTCAGCACAGGGCACTGAGGTGGTGTTGTAGTCGTTCGTATTGCAATAACTTCTATTGACTGATTATATTTTTGTTTGAGCTTCTTATCTGTAATCTCTTCTCTGACCCTGAATCCCATGGCTGAAATACCTTTCTTGAGCCTATCTACAGGGGTTATGGCCAGGTTAATGATAATCTACCTCAAGGCAGCATCTGTCAGTGTTCACTCTTAATTTCACAATGAAAATGTTCTAATCTTGGCTCCTTTTCCTTCTTCTCCTTTTCATTTCCTTTCTTATCTGCAGTATTTCTCGAGCTCTCTTAAAGTCTAGACTGCCAGATCCCCGGAGGGAAGAACAGTGGCCATTTGCTTTTCATAGTGTCTAGCTGACCAAAATAATCATTCATTTTCAAATTTTCTTTCTGTCATTTTTCTTGGTCATTGTTTTTCTGCAACTCTGTTGTCTTCCTCTCTTGTCTTCCTAACTCTGGCATGCAAGGATAAGAAACCATAACTCAGTTGCTTTCTTCTGCCGCTCCTGGTCACTCCGGTCCTCTGCCTTCATTTGTGAGTCTGTGCAAGGATTCTATCTGATCAGGCTCCTTCCTAATTTCAGGGCAATAGCCCATATGCAAAATGTAGCTAGTAAGATTGCATCAGCTGTGAAATTGAGCCTTACAAAAACTAATCAAGCAAGGAAACAGAAGAAGGCACTGTGCTGTGTACTTACAAAAAAATCTTTTACAAGACTTATCATAGGTATTAGAATAATGGGTCTATTTCATTTACAAGTGTGCAAGAAAGGTTTTATTATCACTGCTGTTATTATTATTAGACTGTAATTTTTAGTATATGCTACAGAAAGAAATCTGTAGGCCTGTCAGAAAAGTATTGCCTAATTCTGTTACTTAGTTCCTGTGCCAAGCAGACAGCAGCAGTGATCCAAATAAAAAGAAGTAGTAGTTGGAGCAGAGCAGAGTCTTGTAGGGCTTGTGCCATGAACTACCCGCTCCTTTGAGTACTGAGCTGATAAATGTAAAGAAGCGTGTTTATTTTTCCGTTTAGCAGCTGAAGCTCAGGACCACTTCTGCATTTGATCTGAGATCCCTCGGTAAGACATTGAACCAAATGTCTAAGGGTATCTAAATTATACCCAGTTCATCTGCAGAGAGAGGAAGTTCTGTCCTTTTTTCTCACTCCCCAATTCCTCTGATCATGAAGACACAAGTTAGAGCTACCAGAGACAGCTCTGGCTTCCCTGAAGGAAAGATAAAGCAAAGCATTTGCCAGCCTATGCATTTCACAGTTGTACAGGAATGAGAGGATCAGCTGGTTTAGAGCAATTATGCCACTCCACATCTCCCATTGCAAAGTGATAGTGTGCTTTCCACCTACATGGTGAGGTCAGGAACCAAAAGTAGGTCTTCCAGTATGGATTTGGCCAACATGTTCATATTGGGTATAATAATGTGTGCATATTGGCTGCAGCAAGTAATGGTTTAGGTAAGCTAGATAGATTTTAGTTTGCGTAAAGATATGTATTGAATTATTCTTTAGCTATAGTGTGTGCTTGCAGCCCAGAAAGCCAACCATATCTTGGGCTGCATCAAGATAAGTGTGGCCAGCATGTTGAGAGAGATGATTCTCCCACTCTACTCCACCCTCATGAGATCCCACTTGGAGTAGTGTGTGCACCTGTGGGGCCTCCAGCATAAGAAGGACATGGACCTGTTGGAGCAGGTCCAGAGGAGGGCCATGAAGATGATCAGTGTCTGTAGCACCTCCCCTGTGAGGATGGGCTGAGAGAGTTGAGGTTGTTCAGCCTGGCGAAGAGAAGGCTCAGGGGAGACCTTATAGCAGCAGTACTTAAAGGGGGGCAGCAGGAGAGATGGGAAAGGTCTCAGGGAGTGTAGTGATAACGATGAGGGATAGTGGGTTTAAACTGGAAGAAGGTAGATTCAGATTAGGTATAAGGAAGAATTTCTTTCCTGTGAGGGTGGTGAGGCACTGCAACAGGTTGCCCAGAGAAGCTGTGGCTGCCCCCTCCCTGGCAGTGTTCAAGGCCAGGTTGGACGGGGCTTTGAGCAGCCTGGTCTGGTGGAAGGTGTCCCTGCCCATGGCAGGGGGTTGGAACTAAGTGATCTCTAAGGTCCCTTGCAACCCAAACCATGCTAGGATAATGGAATGTCTTTGCAGTTTTATGGTCCTATTTGGCAATTGCCCACAGAACAGTCCCTTCAAAGGGACTTAGGTTCATGGTTTACAGTGTATTTTCAAAAGCAGATGAATTACAGAAAGTAAGTCACGTTTATGATATGTCATAGAATAAGGCCCTGAGCCTTAGCTCTAACATCCAGGTGTAACTGGCGGTAGAACTTTACTTTCTGCTTACCGAAGAGGGAATAGTCATGTCTTCATTTTAATATTCTCCAGATTAAGATTATATAGGATATTCTAAACTAAGAAAAGAGAAGCACATAAGGATGTGAAGAGGAGAACAAGGTACATTGGTTGTGTGTGGAGTCCTGTTACAGGCTCCAAGCAAGAATAGGTTTATTTTTTTGCTGAATAGGTTACTGCAGTTTCATTTGCCTTTTGTTGGAACCCAAAGCACTGTAAACCTATTTTGAGACAGGAGTTCTGTGCATTCATGGAAGTGTCTTGTTCAGTTTTCTGTCCACAAAGCATTTTATCTAACTTATTCCTTAGATCCTAATGTTGTCCTTCTTCCAGCTTCTTTTTCTCTTTCAGCACTAAATGTATGCCCAGCTCTTAAAACTGCCTTCTTATTCTACTGACCATTTCCTTTTTCATCGGTTTCTCTTCTTCCTCTGCTCCTCATTTTAGTGACTCTTGCTTTCCTTTAGCTCCTTTTCCTCCCACCTCCACCCCCACCCCTGATACTATATTGTCTGTCCTGTCCTGAAAAATATCTCCTTAAAATTGCCTCATTTTCATTCTCCATGCTCTGCTTTGTCTCCTGAGACTTAACGCAGGCTGCCTAGTCATTTGTTCTTGCTCCACATCCTACCATCCCTCTCCTCAGAACCTGTAGAAGGGAAAGAGGCAAATCTGAGAATGTCAGAATATCCTTCTGTTATTGTGCAATCTTTTTTTGTAATTCTTCTCCTTCTTGATATTTACTAAAGGCCTATTGCTTAGATAGACTTACTCTGTAGGAAGATTTAACACATAAATTAAGGAAAGACTGAGTTACACGTCTACATAAGAATTTTTTACATTGGGGATTGTTTCTTTATTTTCATGGGAAAACAGCAAGCAGTTTTTATTTGCTCTTTTTTTCTTATCTAAAAATTTATTTTGCTGAGGCTTTAAAAATATTGATCTCCAGGTTGAAACTTAGCATGCGATATTTTACATTCAAAAAAGAAAAAAATTATCTTAATCAATTGAAAGTGATGTCACCATGGAAGTTGCAATATAATGTTAAATATAAGAAGCGTACTTCAACACCCACATTACTGTGTATTTACTTATGTGAAAACAAGGTAATGCTTACTGTATTAAGAACAGCTTTTCATTTTATGATTGCCTGTTGTTCTTTGAATCATAACTTTCACTGGTTTCTTTAATTTAGGAGAAAAAGCCATTAAACATAGATACTTCCTGAAAGTGTGTGCTGCATGAAAGCTTTAATTAAATCTACAAGTAAAGCTTTAAAAGAACAAGAATCAAATTAATTGCAACAAGGACTATGCATTTATTTCTGTGACAGGCCTTTGCGTGTTAGAGAAAAGGCAATCTGTGTACCCTTATCTGAATTAGTAAACTCAATATCACTTTTCATTAGCATGGTAGGTCATTGCCATGCGTCTTCAGTGTGACACTGTTTACATGTTAATGACCTCACAAATAGAGTCTGTTCCAAATGGTTTGCAGTAGTAGAAAGTTGTAAATCCATGAAGTGGAATAAACTGTCCTCTGCTTTCTGCATCATTGCTTCTTGTGAGTTCCCCTCTGGACTGAGCTTCATAATTAGGCAGCAGTATAATTAAGGCAAATTCAGTAAATGCAAATAGGGCAAAGGATTTATAGCTGATTATGGTTGTTATAGCATACCTGAAATAAATTAATTTCTAAGCATCGTTATTAGTTGATTTTTCAATGACATGGAGGCTAGAAGCAGAAAGTATTGTTCTCAAAAAATGCTCTTAGCTTAAGTTAGTGAGTATGAGTTCATGATGATGTATTCAGACTTACAAAGTGCAGTAAGAATGAATGAAAAAAACACAGGATTCAGTAGAACATATTGCTTTAGTTGTTTGGTGTATGATTGCTTTTATTAAATAAGATTTTTAAGATTATAAATATATTTTTCCCCCACCATATAATGTAATGAAATCAGCATGCTCCCTAAAATCATATCCTTAAAGAAAATGTCATATTTACATCTGGTAATTTGACTAGGCAGTGGAAAGCTTCACTGCTTTAAAATCTTGGGATGATAAAGCCAACATCAAATGAGTAAAACAAACTCAGCATAACCACTTAAATTTGATTGCCTAAAATATGTAAAGCAAGGACCATTCAGATATCCTGCTGTGTGAATTCATTTAGTGCTGAATGGCCCTCAGTTCCCATTGACTTCAGCATCTTGCAGAATCTGGTCCTATATTTGGATGTCTCAGCCCTGCCATAGCAAAAAGCCTATTTTTCACTGGTCATATGCAGCATCTGCCTGGTATCACAAGACATATACTCTGTGGTTCTGCCTTCAACGATCTTGGGAGTTGCTTTGAAGGCAGAGAGTAATGGTTTCTACTTTAGTCGCTCACCTAATATGCAAAGCGAGTTTAATTATATGCTGTCCAACCTTCTCTGCTACATATTTTTCCACTTGCTGGTTCTGGCTGAAATACATACTTTCTACGTGCAGAGGTTACTAGTAAGTGTACAGTGCCCCTGGAAGCATTTATGGCTAATCTTGCCCTCAGCATGCATAATATAGCTAAGTACTAATTAAAGGTTAAAGAATAGGGATCCATCTTTTCTCTGCCTGATGAATAGAGGAATGTGTTCTGCATGAGGTCAGATGCTACTTTTAACTGGGCAGCATTGCTAGGATGCTGCAGAACCTAACTACATGAGACTAAAATTCAAGAGACTCCAGATTTTCTCACAGCACAACAAAGGACTAATAAATCACTGTCTTGTGTTGTGTAATGAATTAGCTGGTTTACTGTGTTTCATATGAATATGTAATGCTGCAAGGCATACATGGACAGAATGTAGATTTGATTTCATAAGGGATATTTTTTCTGTCCTACATACTGACTTCTGAAAATTGTCTGTGGCCCAGTTGTACATTTTGCTATTAAAACTGAGAAATATACTTCTGGCAAGGCAATAAAGTCACCACAAACATTATTACCCTCTCTCAGATCCCAATAATAGCTGATTAAAGCAGGTTTTGATTACTTCTGAATATTACCATGACTGCTGCCATGCAGTATAAGAGAAATTAACTGGCTAGTGATGGACCTGTGGTGGCAGATAAAAAACTTGGCTGTTTAGTGGAAGTCTGTCTTTGTAGGGCTATAATTTCCCCACAATTTCCAGAGGTTTTGTAATTTTAAAACTTCTTCGAAACTTTTCACACCAGAATGGATGACAACTTTGTGGTTCTCTGAAGTCATCCTTTCAGAAATCCTAGTGTTTGCTTCTTTTCTGTAGGCTTCTTCCTGGCATAAAAATCTAATAATAGCAATTGCTTTTTCAATAAGCTTCCATATAAGCTATGGAAAGAGTATGGGAATCAAGAGGTCTGGTTTCTGCCACCAACTTGCTGATGAAAGTTCTTAAACCTTTGGGTGCCATATTCTTCACATTAATTAAATTTTTATTGCTGTTAACTGCTGCCAAGCAGTGGTATCAGGGCTACTGGAGGTCTGATAATCAGAGAGGCCGAGTACTTCATGCTTCCTTTATCATCACTTGGATTTGAGAAAATTTGATCTTTGTGTTTCTAAATAGAAAGCCAGCACTTCCTGAAAATATACATTGTTGTAATATTAGTACCTGAAAATCAGTGATGGAGATATCATCAGCTAAGGCAAGATAAGCCACATATACTTGCAGAAACACATGTTCTCTTATGAGTAGCCTTTGCAAAAGCACCGTGGGAGGTGTAAAGTATTTTCACTGACACTAGCTGCTTTGACACTTCAGTGACTGCAGAGCTGCTTCCTTTCCTACAGTAAGAGTAATCAGCATCTGAGCTTTACTGCTTGAACTCTTGTGCATGTGAATTGCTCTTTTGACAAAACCAAAAATTCATTACTTAAAGCCCAGATACACAGTAGTAGGTTCCTTGGTAAAGGTATGAAAACAGTGAAATGGAATAATACAATAGTTTAGCATCTCGTGACTTTCAGAAATGCATAAATAAAATAACTGAGCATACTATACCACTTAGAGTGTAATCATTTGCTGTCTGATTAGAAGTCAGATAGCCGTAAGGTGAAAATAAGATGGAAAAGGTCAAATGATTAAATTAGCTGCATTCAGGCAGGCATTACTTACAAAGATTTTTTGCTATGATTAAAGAAGGTCAACAGTAAGTCAAACAAATAAGATCAAGTTAGTGACCCTAGAAAGGGAAATTAACCTCAGTGATAAATAAAAAATTACTGTCCACTATGAGCACTCCAAGAAGTGCTACTCTTGGTTAATCACATCTTTCACTTTCAGCTATGGACTCTGAATATAACTGCTATTCTGATTATTTACAGAGGAATGCACATCCTTAATACAGGATCTAAACAGTAAAACTTCTTTTCCCATTCCTTTTAACTCACACTGCTTTTTAATAACACAAGAAATACCTCCTACTACAGTTCTAGTACACATCCCATTAATATCCTATTGAATTTATCACTGTTTTCATGTTTTGTTGTAAACAGATTCATCTGAGCAGTGCTGTTTTCCATATTACTTAATCTCTTGTAGGTGTTTCCAATCACTACATTATTGCCTGGTGGTTTAAATATATTGACAACAGGTTAACATTCTGGTCACACGATTCTCCTTTTTAATGTTGGGTTTATTTTCCTTTAGTGGACATTCTTGGAAGCCTTGTTTTTCCTGCTGTATCCCATCAGAGTGTAATGAAAATCTAGGCTAAATTTATAGTGTAGAATTTTCATAATATATCTCTTGCATTTGACTAATCATGGAGAATCTAGACTTTTATAGTCAAATCAGTTCTCTTTCTCAAAATCTTTTAATATGGGTGAGGAAGTGCAGTGACCCAAAAAGCTGTGAAACCCTATAAAAAGTCACTTGATGTGACTTTTTTTTTTGTTTTGGTACTTATGCATCTGCTGTGAATGAAAAATTGCTCTGTCTCTTATTATCTGAGAGCCAAGAAATGCATATATATATTGGAGTGACTAACCAGGAATGAAAACACAGCAGGAAAGGTCACTGTCTGGTTCGTGATTACTGATTAGTTACCAAAAGTTCAAAGCTAAATTGGCCTGTCCTCATCTTCCCCATATCTCATTAGCCTCCGCAGTACCTGTGATCTAGGATTTTCCTGTTGGGATCTTCTCCATAAATATTCACGCAGATCTTGTCTGTTTGTGACAAAAGGGATCTCCATGTGTATTAGCTATTTGTTGTAATTTTAGTAGCTTCAGTGTGCTTGGTTTCTATTTGGTGTTGCAAAATGTCTGCAGATATTACAATGGGCTGTGGCAGAATGTCTTTGCCTTTCTGAGGAAAGACAGCGATGGGATGTCTTGTTGTTGCTTGATTTGCTGTCAGGTGCTTACTAGACAATAGACCAAAGCAGCTATTTTAAAAACATTTACAGGCCAAACAGTCTAGATTGCTTACTCAGGAGGGTTATATAGTTATGAGGAAGAAATAGTTAAATGATTACTCAGAGTTTATGCACTTTGATATGATATTATCCACTCAATACTGAGAAATTTCTCAATCCTTGAGAAATTGTATTGAGATACTAAATAAAACTATGTCACATGCTACTTCTTCAGTATCAACCAACAAAATGTTAATGCCATGGTTCTTTCTACTCTCTGCAGACTGTTGCTTTATTGCATTACATCCTAGAATGAATGATACTGTCACCTTTAAAAAAATCTTTCCTTGTGTGTCCAAGGTCAGTGAGAAGGAGAATACTAGTGTGTGTCATGCATGCAATCATTGCTCAGAAACGATATGTTAAAGAGAGGTTGTGTAGATCAGCAAATGTCCTAGAAGTTCAGATATGGTTAGTTTGCCCTTGCTTTAGCTAGTGAGAGTGATTTGACAGCTGTACTTTGTAGTTTCTTCCTTCTGGAGCATGTGATCATGCTTTGATAGCAACCCTTAATCTATTATTAATGCAGTTGTATGTAGATCAAAACTAAAGATCCTTAGTCACGTCAGAAAGTAATGCTAGTCTATTTTTATATCATTTGAGGATGTATCCGAAGTGAAGGAAATGAAGTGCCAGAGTGCTAATGTCAGGTATTTTGTACCTCTGTTCCTCTATGCAAGCTGTAATCTCAATCTCTGTAGGTATGCATGTACATGTGCACTGCACAATAAACCTCCTCAGTTTTTTGTCCCAAGAATTAATAAATATGTGCCTCCTTTGAGTCTTTTCCATTTGTTGATTCTGAGCTGTGGCTTTTTATCAAGCTTTGAAGAAGAGAATTTGACTTTTTTGAGTGAAGTCTTGCTAACATCTAGTTGCCAACATTTTGATGATAATCCATGTACACCAGCTTTCAAAATTAAGGGGGTTAATTTAGTCCTGTGATTTTCTCTAATAACATCATTATTAAGGGTTATTGTAGAAGTAATGCCATGTGGGTTATGTTCACTCTCCCATTCTGAAATGGGCTTTTTGTGGGTTTAAGATGATGTGACAAGCTATGAAATTTTATTGTAGAAGAGCATGTGGCCTCCATGTACTGATGTCCACCTGACAGGTGGACACTACCATACGTGCTAGTTTCTTGAGTATGTTGGTTAAGTTGGATCTGCCAGGAAATCAAACCCCCAGGGCTTTGGCATGATCATTCTCAGTGTCACCTGAGAGTCAGGATGAAGTCAGGGCATGCACCTAGCTGCAGGGGCTAAGGAGCACTTCTGGGTTCCTCGGCTTAGCCATGGGCTGGGAGACAGCTGTATGCTTTTGTCAAGGAATAAATGTGTTCCGAAAGGGAACAGCTAAGACAAATAAATGTCCCAGGATGCAAACCAGAGGAAGAAAATATCTGTGAGACTGAGGTAGTACTTTCAGTACAAGGAAAAGCATTGAAAATCTTCAGCTGACAGTGCCTCAGATGCTGACAGATTTCCCCTCACAGAACAACAGCTTCGAGTGTCCATTTGACCAGAGAAACAATTCACTGGTATCACTTGAACTGTAATTCTTGGTGATAGAGCACCAAAGATATGCTGTGGGAGGAGAAGTAACTGGTATCCTTCTCCGATTTGACCCGATACCCACACACCTTGTCACTACATTGTGCCAGGCAGTCACCCATCTAGTACTGCTGAAGTGGAGATGGGTACAGCAGGAACTTGAGACGTGTAACCTGTTGTGGCTTGCTGTGATAATGTAAGTTCCTCTTTTTCCATATGGCATAAAAAGCTTTGGAGAAACAGGTGGCAGAGGTCCACAGAAGCTTCAAGATGGCCCAAATTTGAAGTTGCAGCTCTTGGTGTTTTAGTCTGTAACATAATGCAGCAAGACATTCTGTTATTACGTTCTGCCTTTGCAAATCTAAGGGAACAGGAGTGTTAGGTTTCCTTCACCATCTAGTCAGCTCTACTACAAGACACTGTCATCTCTTTTATTACTAATACTGGAAAATTTCCTACAGTAGCTAATTTACCAGTGAAATACAGACATTTAAACATGTCAGCTGCATTTTTTTCTTCGTATATGCATCTTGGAGTTTATATACAGATGGCATTTTTACGTTTATATCTAATAGCTATTAACATTTTCCTGTGCCTTATTTCTTTTGAATGTCTCTTTACCAAGCCTGTCAGCTTTTCATCTCTGAAGCTAAAAATAGATGTTTATACAGAAATCAGAAGAGATTGAAATTACGGGCTGATTCACAAATAGAAAAAAAGAAATTACACAGCTTTCATTAATTATTCCATAGATACTTTTGTTTGTGGGAGTGGTGCATTGAGCATCTATTTTTTTCAATCCTGAAGAAAGTTAAGTAGCTGAAAATGAGATTAGAGAGAAACAAGCCAAAGTTGCACATTGCATTTAGTCATAGGAAATACCACCTTTTGTATCCCACTGAAAGAGGGATTGCATATTCACAGCTGGAATTTTTGCTGCCCTTTATTGTAGCAGCAGCAGCTGCCATTTTTCTATTCCATAGCATTAAACCAACCCATAATTTTGCAGCAAATTCTGCCAGAAATGTGCATGTGAATACTGATACTCTATACTGAACCAGGCCTCTAAATCTATTTTTTTTATTTCTGGGCAGCATGTAGAATGCTAAAGGAAGTGGCATTTTCATGTTTATGTGGAACAATAGTGGTGCAAAACCATATTCTTATGACATTTTCAGGTGGCAAATGACATGAGGAGTGAGAAGGATGAGTAGTTCTGATGTAAATAACAACACAACCATAAAAAAATCAGAGAGAACTGTACTATAGTCCTTTTAGTGATCCTGCAGTTGAAGATGATGTTCATTTTCAGAAAATGCATTTTTGATAACATTATTTAGTTACCCATGATAATAAGGTTAAAAGTGTGATAGATGAATCAGCTTCTAGAAATTAAGTTGATGTAGCAGTATAAAATACTGAATTTCTGGAACAAATTCCATTGAGGATTTTAAAAAGAATGACGCTTCATAAAGAACATCAGAGGTGAATCTAGAAGCAGCATTCTGTATCTCAGTCTGCTATTCACATTAAAAAATGTTTGAGCCAAATGTGTCCCTTAGCCTTCAGCTGTTCATTTTTAATGTATGTGTGGCTTGCACATGCTGCAGTTCTTATATTCAGTGCTCAATCTTCATCCAAATACAAGAGCATTGACTCCAGGGACAGAGAATTCTTGACTGTCAATACTGTACCTTACTATTATTTATGAAGGTTCTTCCTTTTTGCTCCATTCAAATAGATGCAGCACTATTTCAGGCATCTAATGATTACTCTCACATATGCAATTATGCCAAACAGATCTAAGATAAACAAATCAGAACTGCAAATGAACCTCACATTCAGCCAGCTCTTCAGTAGGTTAGTTTTAGCAAAGAAACAGACCATCTTTCTGAAGAGACATGTTAAATTGCAGAAAAGCTGAATCCAGCTAAAACAAGTTATTAAGAAAAGCAGTCTACCGTAGCAATTTTGTAGTACTGGTTTGTTTTGACACCAACTATTTTTCTCTCAATAACTGTCAGTGGATTCATGTTTGCCTGATATTTACTCTCATTACACAGTTGGCAGTTAAAAGGCTATTTCTAAAGTCAGGTGGCTGTATCTCATCTTCCAGCTATACTTAGTCCTCATTCCTTATCCTTTTTGTTTGCTAAACACCTCACTTTACTTTGCAGACATTCACAGTACTTGGTGATATGCTAAGGCTGCAGTGTGTTTTCACAAAGATTATTTTTTCTGTTGCTTAGAAAACAGTTAATTGTTCAAAAAACAGTTGCGTAAATGGTATTTTCACATCAAATATGTTTGTATTTTTCTGTCAGCCAAGTGGAAACTGAATTTTTAATACAGTATTTTATTGTGGGGTTGAATGTCAGCAGATGTATAACAAAAGGAAGAGAACTCCAAAATAAATCAATTTGTCATGTTTCATAAACTTATGTAGTACCACAGTCAACACCTGTCCTATTACCAAGTAACAAAGCAAAGAGTAGGATGCTTTCTGTCGGTTCTGCTATGAACTACAAGGTCATAATAGGATGGAAAAAATATATGAACAAGAACTTCTTCACTTCTCTAAAGTTGCAATGGTTATTTATTAGACATTGTTTATTTGCTGAGATTGTAGCAGAGGAATTTTTTCTTGCCTACTCAGTCTGACAGTAGCATAGGCAAGAAGGAGGACTGTTGCAGCTGATACCTACCCGACACTTCCCTCTGATGAGGCTCATTGTGAAACTCCAGTCCACTGCAGAACCTTTGGGTACTTTATTTAAAATGCTTATTTTGTGGAGATAGGACTCTTCCTACACTACTGTGTTAATGGCATGTACTTACAGTGATGCAGTGAGAATGTGACTGTAATCAAATTGCTTTATCTCATTTATAATATTTGAGCAACAAAGGACCCCAGGCTAGTCATGCTGTTGCTTCTTTTCAAGTCCACATTTCATTTTGACATAGGTGCTAAAAGAAAGAGTCAGTCTATTTCTTTCTGCCCAGTCAGTGTCTTTGTATTGCATGTACTTGAATGCATTATCAATGCTGGTAGACAAAGGTCCCATTTTTGAAGGAAAAAAAATCCTTAGTAACATGCCTACTCGGTTTTGACTACATTAAAAATATTTCGCTTGATCACAGTCAG